GTAACAGTCTTGATAATTGTACAGATGAATTCTGGGTAGATTTGGGCGCGCCTCAGAATCGTAGTGTGAGCGGTATCGGAGCGAAATTGGAGAGACAGAGCGACCGCTCCAGCCTTAATGAAAAAACCGCTTCGCGCTCTGACCAAATTCAGCCGGCTGCGCTCCTCGCTCACGCTCCGCTCCACTCCGCTCACATGCTCTGATTCAGAGCCAGCGAGCAACAGACTTTCAAAATAATACTACTACTAATATAATAAACTGCGTTAATTCGCGATAAAATAATTGTCGGCGTTAATAAAGTACTGCGTTAACGCGATAATAACGCGTTAACTTGCCCAGCACTAGTTAATATACATCTCTAACCGCATTCAGTTTAACCGCATCTTGAGTTGTTGAAACCCACAATGAATGCTAAATTGCTCCGTTCTTGTCTGTTCAATGCGTATCCGCTTGATCGGCTAAATATAGGCTATACTTAAATATAAGGTAAGATGTAGTATTAAACGTTCCTTTATATATGGACATCTATATTGATGCGCAGCGGTAATGATTTAGGCTACCTGAAGCATATGTGTTGCTATACATTTATTGGACTGCGTAACTTTCTAAAATTAAACGAAACTAATCATCTCCGAACAAGCAGTTCGTCTCACCAGTAAATCCGCATTTCACGCCGGTAATGGGGGGCTGCCCACAGTGGCCCCACATGGGCCCCAAAGGGGCATGTTTGCTGGGTATTTGCTGACATAAATTCAAATGGCGCCTTTTTTGGCCGGGCAGTGTATGAATAATCCGACGACTTTTAATCTGACAAATTTGAAAGCTTTCCCAGCAAAAGATAAATTATCGTACGTTAATTAATTTACGCTTAGATATTGGCTTAGGTATACGCTGATCCATACTTACTGTCTTAATTTTCAGTGGGTCAATGACCCAACTAAATGGCCCAAGTTACAGTGGCCGGATGTTACTTCTATTTATAGGGCTAATTATATGCCGTTAGGCTTATTAATTCTGACACACTCTGAATTATAGTTATGAATATTATCTAGACTTGTTTCGCTTCAAATGACGATGGTATCCTATAGAAATGAAGCTCGTTTTTTTGAATTTCTACTTTGACATGCAACAGCACAACACGACATTTTATTTCTTTATTTTAGGGTTTTTGCTCATTCACCTCCGTTTGTTCTTTCCATTTTACTGCCACCAATTTGCTCGCGCAACTTCCTGTGACGTAATCGGTAATCGTAACGTCTTCTCAAAAGACCTTTGTCTTTATACGATTAAGTTGTATCCCCCGATATCAAACTCGTGTCTACACCATTGGATTCTGTCTGACAATGTGAAAGTAAAGATGTGTATGTGTGTATGTTAAATGTACGTATACGTGTATGTGTGAAGCTGTTCTTACTTGTGAGACTGAATCACTCAGTCTCACAAGTAATATGTGAGACACATATTTATACATAATGTAAAATACCATTTTTATTAATATCCGTGTTTTTTCATAATATTATTTTAAATGTCAGTAAAGTTAATCTTGATCAATGTTACAACGCGGTTTAGTTATGGACTACTGGGGCTTTTATTTTGAAATGTTTACTCGATGGGCACCAGAAGTAGATCTCTTTCCCCCCTCTCTTTCTGTGTCACTCACTGCTTGTGCGTCGTACAGGTAGTATAACAGCCGTGGCTGACTTTTCATTCTTATTCGTAATACACTCCACTACATACTTTTCTTGCCTTCGTGTTTTGCACGAGTTAACAGACTGTGTGTTTTTATTTGTGAGGTTAATATGCTTTTAATCATATTCTTGAAGATGACAAATTAAGGATAAATGCCTGTTTGCTAGCTAACACTACAGTGTTACATGTTTGGCATATAAATGTAAAATATAAAGTCGTTATAGGTAGCTAAACGTGGTCTCCTTATTGTATCTTGCTAGCTATTTGTAGAGGTTCTTCTCGTTTATTCAGTTCAAAAGTTTCGCTGATGTGGCTGCTTCTTCCACCGTACTCGCCCACACCTAAAATGTCAGCAGATTCAAACGACAAATACGCACACTTAATTTTACCAACTCATTAATGAAGACTAAAATATCTATTACAAATAAAGGTGAACATGATATAATAGGCCTACCATAAAATTCATCGGGGCATTTTATCAAGATGGGTAAGAAAACTTCTGAATGTATTTTTGTAATACTTGATTAAGCATGAGTCGTATTTTAAATATGAGGTCATTTAGCTTCTTGCACTGCCGTAGTCATGTTGTTTAGCCTCTGGTAATGGGCATTCCTCGAATTGCAATGTATTTTGTTAGCAGTGCCCTGCATTGTTACACTGTTTGCCTGGACAGACTAAAAAGTCTCCAGATCACTCTGTAACAATGTCCTAGCATACTTGATGTGTTACCGTATCGCCAATATTGCATGCTTGTGGTTCTGTGTAATGCTAGTTATATGTGTATCACAGGCAACTTATTGGCGAAATTATACCGTAAATAGATCATTTGTCATGCACTTTTTTATGGTTTCTGACTGTTAGGGTACTGTTGGTGAATTTGGTGACACTGGGTGAGGTGTACTTTAATTGTAATTTAGTCCTTTTTGTATGGTTGCCAATCAAATAATTGTTCTGATATTGAATATACTTTTATTCCATCTAGCCTTTTAAATTATGACTCCTCTCTGTTAGTAAGAATGTTAGCATGTTTGTATCTTAATGTTGTAATGATGGTGCATACTTATTAATACACTATTTACCATAATCATGTCTTTCTGGAGTTATACACAGTTTTCCATTTGTATCTCATATTGAATAAATCAATCAATCAATCAAAAAAAAAAACATTTTACCAATGTATTAAGTTGCAAATGCAGTCTCCTTTTCGGTCTAATGCACAGTTCTCTGTCCCTCCCTTGTATGTATTATCTATTAAAAATGGATAACCAGTTTTGTCTATTCTTAGGTCCCTGTTTAACGTCCAGCTGGCCTATTGCTGAGAAGCAATGAGAACCGGGGGTAAGTCTACATGTAATGTATCTGTGTTTGTGCATATCTGTGCAGCTGTATTAGTATGGCTATATTTATGTTTATGTGTTTGTGTCTCAGGTCTGAGCATATTTTTGTTTTGTATGTTCTGGTGTATTGTGTTTTGTGTGTTTTTCCTGTACAGTGGTACCTCAGAACTTGAAATTAATCCATCCAGAACTCTGGATCGAATCCTAAGAAGTTCGAATTCTGATCGAATTTTCCCCATAAAAAATAATGGAAAACCAATTAATTGGTTCCCCGCCCCAAAAATTACACAGAAATTATTATTATTATTATTATTTTAAGCATTTAAACACAAAATGAACCGGACAAAACAAGAAAAGCATATACTGTACTCAACACACCTAAGCACATTTATCAAAACAGTAATTTTTAAAGTAAGAAAATAAATGTATCCAAACAACGTGTAAAGTTAAAAAAAAAAACGTGTCATGCCCCGATCGTCCGCTCCTTTTGTGTGCCACGCCCCCTCGTTAACCCCATGTGGAATCCCCGTATGATCAGCTGTTTCTGGTTGTTGTCATTAGTCCTCTGTATTTAGTCTGCATTTCAGTTTGTTTCCCCAGTCCGGTCATTGTATTGTCCGTCTGCGTTTTGCCTGCCTTACCTGTAATTAAACCCCGTATTCCCCGATACCCTGACGTCTGCGCCTTTGTCTCCGTTCCGTCCCCGCTGGGCACGACAATATTATTATAATTAAATGTATTAATGGTTTATTGTTAATATTAAAATAATTAGTAAGAAATCTTTATTTTAAAATGTATTTTATTATATAATAATCACTGTTACTGTTTATCATTGTCTAAATGTATTTTTACTGTATTTATGTATTCAGCTAGTGTAAACTTGCACGATAATATCATAGCAAATGCGAGGCTGAGACTGAAGCGTTACCCTTTGTTTCCACTGAGAGACGTGCCCGCGCATACAAGTTATCTTAGGTCGGCGTTCATGGTTTGACTTCTGAGATTCAGATTGAGTTCTAGGTAAAAAAAATTTCGAACTGGTTGGTTCGACTTTTAAGAAATTTGAGTTCTAATGAGTTCGAGAATTGAGTTACCACTGTATTTGTCTGCTTGTGGCTTTGCATATATTTAGGACATTTGATGTTTTATTCCAGAAATTCTTCCATGTGTTACTTTGGCTAACACTTTCATTTCGGTTTTATTTGTTAACTATGCACTGATGTATTAGACTGAAGGACAGTTTTTGGAAAAACTGGAATAAAATGTAATATGTTGACTTGTTGTTTTCTGACATTAGTAAACTATTTGTTTAATCAATTTTCAATTTCTTCTACATTAGGGGTCCTGAAACTGGCACTACTTTTTTCTATTGTGTCATTTCTGGTATTCTTCACCATTCAGCTTCTGGATATAAACATAGATTTTAACCTTGGAAAGATTTTTGGTAAGTTTTTCATGGAATAGACTTTCAGAAGTATTTAGTCATCAAGATGATTTTTTTTACATACTTGCACCCAGGGATATGTTTGACTGGATGTTAACTTCTAAAACAGTACCAGTGTTGGTAATAACGTGTCAGTATAATTCCCCTACTTTTGGCAGTAACGAATAACGTAACTAGTTACCTTTTCTAATGAAATAACACAATTTAAAGTACTGAAATATAAATAGATTCATTACTTACTCATTACTTTTGTCTTGCATGAAAATATTAATAGATAAGTGCAGCCTATTCTCCTAATTTCCTGTTTATGATGTAATGTCATCTGACCTTCCGGTGGCTCAATGAATGGGTGATATTAAGGACGCTCATAGATAAAATTTGACAGTTGTGTTGTTTCACACTATCACAGCAGTAACAATAAAATAACTACCTATACAGCACACATGCATAGGCACAATGTACTGAACTAAAAAATGCAAGATTATTGATGCTAAAAAATAAATACACTCACCGGAAAATACATTAGTAAGGCTCACAGCATAAATATATCAAATACAGGGTTTGCACCATCATGAAAATCATGGAATTATGAAATCACGTTTTCCAGACCTGGAAAAGTTATAGGAAAAAAAAGTATCAAAGTTTTGGAAAAGTCATGGGATTTTTGAGAGCTATTTAAAAAAAAAAAAAAAATCAACATTCATACAATCCAACAATCAAATCTCTCTTCAGCAGTATCTTGATTGTATTTTCTACGTCAGCGCATGCATCATGTCAACAAAGAACGAAATGTTATCTTGAAGTGTACCCAATATGTTATAGAATATGTAAAGTTGAAACATTAGATGCTATAAACAAATAAGGTGTTTGTATGTGTGTGTGTTGTCGACATCATACATTTAGTGTGGTCTTGTGCACAGTGTTAAGAAATATTTTTATGTAAAACAACTATTGTTAAATTGAAGAGTAGAATGTGTAAAGACCATATGAAGTCCAAATATCAGACAGTACAAAAGAAAGACGTGAGCATGCATGTATGTGCAATTCTTTGTGGAGTTTTGAGATACCATAGTGCACTTCTCGTATGAACACAATGTGCTACCAGTGAAAAAGATTGTTCTGCTATGCTAGCAGAGAAATTTAGATACAGAATGTGTGAAATTCAACTTCCAGTGTGAAAATAAACTTGAGAGTGAGTTGGTGTCATTCAAGTGGTTACTGGAAGGAACACATTTAATATACAAAATAAACAGATTCACAAAATGTGCAAAGTCATTTCTAACTTATAATTCCATGCAGATGTTAACAACTGCAACACACACCCAAGGACCTTCCTTCCTTTTACATGCAAAATGCACCACGGCATTATTAATGGAATCATTGTTGTTATTTTTCTTATAATGTCAAATGTTTCAACTTTACACATTCTGTAACATGTTGGGTATGCTTCAAGTTAACATTATTTTGTTCTTTTGTGACATGTAATGCACACTTATGTCACATTAGGACAATTATAATGGCACACGCAAATAATTAGTCTTTTAGCACTAATTTTTACAATTCAGTAATTATTGTTTTTTATTATTGCAAATGCAACGAATAAATTAGAGTTTCTATCTGGTAGAATGGAATAGCTAGAAAAGATAGTCTAGTGTGGTCATTGTTAGACCAGATAGAAATTGAACTATGAAGCTTTTTGCTAGTGTGTGTCTGATCAATAGAGAAAAGCAACATGCATATCTGTAAAATTATATGCAAAGGAAGGTATACTCATATGGATGAATGCAAGATCATAACAGCTGGTTCCTCTACATGATGATCACATAACTTAGCACACAGTTCCTGAATGGGTTGAACAAAAAAATCTTTTTTTGAATCGATTCCTTGAAATTTAGATTGAAGTTCTGGCGAAGTCATAAAATGGTCATGGGAATTTGTTGATCAAAATTCTGTAAATATAACAAGAAGTTTGAATTATAACACTAATAGTAGTAATAGATACTATATTGATCCCTGAGAGGATTTTTTTTTTCTTATTTTCTGTTGGTAAGAGCAAGTTGGCTGTAAAGGGCAGCAACCTGTAGCAGCACCCAGGAAGCTGGGGGTTAAGGGCCTTCCTGAAGGACCTGCAGATGTGCTGAGGCTGGGGTTGAACTGATGACAGGCAGAGAGGTGTAGCCCACTGAGCCACATGATTCCCCGACACTGCCACATAATTCCTTATGAAAACATAAACAGTTGAAAACAACTAAAATATAAAAGGTGAATAATATATAATGCTTGGTTTATATGAATAAACACATATGATAAATATACTTTTCTGTCAGTTCATGCAGAGAAACCCTACCCTCCATTAAACTGGTTTTGTCTAAACTCCTGCTCTGGCTGACAGACACTACTTCTAGACCTGTGAGCAAAGAGACAACAAAGATAGAGCGGGGCGAGCAGAAAAGCACAGCATGGCTTTGTATGTAAAGTAAATTAGGGTGACCACATAATCCATGTCATCCCGGACACTTTGAGCTAGGACAGGATTTGCAACCTACCATTTCAATTAAAAGGACCTGGATTTCACTTAAGTACCGAATGCTGATAATGCACCAGTAAATAGTATTTGTGTTAGTCACAACTCTAATCCTGTTGTGTTTGCTGTCAGGGCAATGCTGGTATTCATTCTGGAGGGATGGAAATGTCAAAACTTGTTTCTGCACTGTGTCAAGCTTTCGAGGAGGGGGGGCAGGTATATTCAGAGGTGTGACATCTTGTTCTATTATAGGGTGATTCTGTAGTCGTGCTGTACACAGTTACTTTTTTATTTGTAAATTGCTGGTCTTACAATTACAGTATAATGAAGTAATATTAATTTTTGCATTTTTTACTGATACAGTCGTACCTCGGTTCTCGAATTTAATCCGTTCCGGACTCCGGATCGAATCCTAAAAAGTTTGAGTTCTGATCGAATTTTTCCCATAAGAAATAATGGAAAAGCATTTAAACACAAAATGAACAGGATAAAACAAGAAGAGCATTTTTTTCCTTAATGGCTTTCAAAACAATAAAGATCTTATCCCAACATTACCCCTGCCCTGCCCCGATCGTCCGCTCCCTTCGTGTGCCATGCCCCCTCCTTAACCTCGTGTGGGATCCCCATGTGATCAGCTGTTTCTGGTTGTTTTCATTGGTCCTTTGTATTAAGTCCGCGTTTCAGTTTGTTTCCCCAGTCCGGTCATTGGATGCGTTTGACTTGCTTACAGCGCTGGCTTAAAGCAACGCATTCTGATCCTGACACAATGCTGTACGGTTAGATGCACTGCGACCTCTCACCCAGCTGCACAAACTGGAACCGCCTCTGTGATGACACACCTTTGCCCTTTTTGGCTGAAGAGTTTAGTTACACGCATGACGTTTGTATCCCAGGCAGTTTCCAGAAAGAATCACTAGCACATAGACAACCCACATAAAATAGCAACGAGGAGATCTAGAGAAGTAAATATTGGGGATTTATTTAATCTCTTCTTAGCTACAAATGGGACTTTCTGTCAGCACTGTATATGAACATTATGATTCTGAGTTTCTCGTAACTGAGTAACTTACTTTATCTTCTTTTGGCTGCTCAAGTTAGTGGTCACCACAGCGGATGAACTTACTTTATCATCATCCCACTGTGTTTGCTGTTGTTTATTTCATGGCATTGCAAAATACACTGTTTACAGCTTAATTTTTTCATCATTTGGATGACTGTTTGCAATGGTACACGCCAGCACATGGGATGTGGTACTCAGCCATCATGTGAGCATTTTGATATCGCACAGCCCTACCACAAAAATACGGAGCAATTTGTACATATGAAACGTGTTGTGCGCATCTGTGGATCACACCCTGTCTAATTGTGTATTGTGTAGCATTTGTGACTTCCCTCCTATTTATATGAGGATTTTTGTCCAATATGTACCACAGCTAATCTGTAGGGGAAAAAAAATATCACAGATGCGTCACAATCCACAAATATGTATTTTTATTTGTTTCGTGTAAAATCATGGCCACAAAAATACGGAGCGATTTGTACACATGAAAAGGGTTTTGTATATTTGTAGATCATGTTACATTTGTGACCTCTCTCCTATTTGTTGATTTTTTTCCAATTTTGTTTGGAGGCTGATCTGTCAAAAAACCATCACAAGCACGACACAATCCAAAATATATTTTCGTACGTTGCGTAAAATCACTTCCACAGTGATAAGGATTTTGCATATTTGTGGATCTCTTCCTGTCGATTTGTGGATCACGCGACATTTCTGACTTCACTCCTATTTATTTTCAGATTTTTGTCCGATTTGTACTGCAGCTAATTAGTAGAAAAAAATCTACAAATATGAGGTACAGTTATTATCTATACCAAAAAGTGGCGGCATACTGGAAGAAGGCTAAAATAAGAGTTCTTAATTAAGGTTTGTGAAGCTGATCCCGCTACAATCAGCACATAAAAAATTCAGTGTTTGGTTAGTGCTATATTTGTGATGTTTTGTGTGCAAAAATTAGGATTTTTTTTTAAATACAGTTCAGCTGTGGTATGAATTGGACAAAAATCTGCAAATAAATTGGAGGGAAGTCACAAATGTAACGTGTTTCACAGATACACAGGACATTATCTGCAAATGTGCAAAACACGTTTCATGTGGACAAATCACTAAGTATTTTTGTGGATATGATTTTACACGACAAATACAAAAATGCATATTTGTGGATTGATTCACAAATATTTAACTATGTACTGGTACGTATTTGTGGATTGTTTTTTGTGGGTTATAAATAATGTCTAATAAAAACTTCCATAGAATTCACTTGTCTATTACCTTCCCTTAATTGTAGAGCTTTGGAAAGCTGCTTAGTGCCCCTACTTTTGCACACAGGGAATTCATTCCTTATGCTGCTTTGTGTTGAGCTGTTTGTTTCCCTCCCATTTATCAAGAAAGTAATGTTTAACCCGGCCTTTATGAGTATCATGAGATCCATGACTATTTTCCCAAGCTTACCCTATATTGAATGGTATTTACATGTATGCCAGTACCAAGATCTTGAACCTTGTGTGTGATTTTCTTATGGACTTATATACAGTATACTGTTTAAGGTATATTAAGCCAAAAATATCGTGTCTTTACAGTGAGATTGGATTCTTCTGAGAATGAATGTAAGTAGCTTTTAAATAAACTGATAACATCAAATGATTATAATCAGCGTTTCAGTATGTTTTGGATGATTACAAGTGATTAAATGTGTGAAACAAGGAATGCTTTCTTCAGTGCATACCAGCTGGGTGTGTTGATGTGGACTATTTGCTTGTTTTGTTTTATATATGTGCCATAGCTGATTGTGATTCTCATGGTGTAAAATGTTTTGATTTTCTTTGTTAGCTTCTAAAGCTCCTAGGTACAAGTGTGGAGTGTCCAAACCTTGTCCAGAGGGACACTTTTCCTTTAAGATGGCCAGTGGGGCTGCTAGTGTGGTTGGACCCAAAATTTGTTTTGAGGACAACATGTAAGTAAAGCTGGTTATGGTCAGGTCTAGATTCATTCTATATTTACGCTTAACTTCTGGACTCATGTCCTCAAATCATGCCATCTGTCATCTCATGTCCTCCTTCACTTTATAGATTGATGAGTGGAGTGAAGAACAACGTAGGAAGAGGGATAAACATTGCACTTCTGAATGGTATTGATGGCCTGTCTGTCCTTCAGCAGAGCACTACTAGGATGGTATCAAAATTCAGAAGAAAATCATGTTTTAAACTCTATCAGTATATCTGAATATTAGCATTTGTGACGTAATAAATGATAGACCATTCACTGGTCATTAAAAAAACAACAGAATCATATAACCCTTGTCACAGAATATGAACAGAATCTTGAAAACTAACCTTTGCAGGCAAAAGTCCTATCTTACCCCAAGATCTTACTTTTCTAACATTGGGAATTAGAACAATTTAATTGTTTCTTTTTTACAGGAAGGTCTGGGGAGCTTATCAAGACAGGCATATTTGATATGTGGGGCGGAGGTATACAGTTTTTTTTTTACATTTCTTTAATGTATGGCTTTGGATTTGATATATCCTGTGTGTTTTTAATGATACACAGTGAATAAATGTAAAATTATTGGTCTAAAGTTTAGACTTCGGGTCCTTCCAGATGTCAACAACCTAATAACTTTTCTGAAGACCATCACAGATGGCACCGTGGTGATGATAGCCAGTTTTGATGATGCGGCCACAAAGTACGTTTTTTTTCTGCTCTTGCATAAGATAACTATTTCACCAGATTTGCAAAATGTTATTGAACTAAAAGAAAACTTGGCTTAATACTTGAGACATATTCCATTAAAACATTTACAATTCAATATTCTCTTATTACAATCAGCTGATTCTAATATATGTATATTGATTTTATTATCCCTATTAATTGACAGACTCAGCGATGATGCAAAGAAGCTTATTTTTGAACTGGGTAGTACCAGCATTAACTCGTTGGGGTTCAGAGATAACTGGATATTTGTTGGAGGAAAGGGGATCAAAACCAAGAGTCCCTTTGAACAGGTAAACCGTCGCATTGTCTCTGATGCTATCAGATTTTGCAATTGAAATTATTGTATTGTATTGCATTACATCTCAAAACTGTCAATCACTGGTTTAGAGTCACTTCTGTGTTTGTTTGTAGCACATAAAAAATAATGCAGAGACTAATAAATATGAAGGCTGGCCAGAAGTCCTGGAAATGGAAGGATGTATTCCTGCTAGACCAGAGTGACTACGTTTGCTCCAGGCACCTCTTAACATATTACTTCACCATACTCCCCCTATGACTTAAAAAGCAAAGGCTGATGTGTTTTGGTCAAACCCATATTAGGGTCTCTGCTACAAATAAATTTGTTGTACAAACAAATCTTGAAATCAGGAGTGTCTTAATTCTTATATGCAGCCAGATTGCCGTCAAATGATGTTGATTGTATAAAGACTTTAAAATGGAAGTAATTTTATAACTACTACTATATTGCTCTGAATTATAAGCTGTTAGTTTGTACCATAGGTTTGTTTTTTTATCGTTTTTATTATTTTATTTAGTATTTTATTATTTTATTATTAGGATAAAGTTCTGCTGGATCTCTTATTCTTGTAATGATTCTGTAATTTGTGTGTGTTTATGCCTGCCTGCATGTGTGTGTCACAAGAAAATGTAATTTATCATATGTACAGATGACCGAAAGGACAGTGAAAATTTATCAAAGCTCTTGGGTGTTCAGCTAATCAAACAACCTTCTTCCTGATTCATATTTACTGTGCAGTGATGCTGAGAATTCAGGAATTTTATTAATATACTACAAAGCTGTGCTTTTGAAAGCAATGAAATTGAAAAGGAAAAAATAACTTTTGGCAAGCTACTTTCAATTTTTTTCATGTGTTTGATAAAATATAAGCTAGATTATCTAAAAGTACCCATGTCTAAAAAGCTAACATAACATCACATATCATCTTTAACATCAATGCTGTGAAAAATGTTATCGCACTACATTTATCAGATTTATTTTACAAGTCAGTGCTTGTGTAATGGAAAACCACTTTGATCACCATTGCCAGGGTCAGCTGCAACTCATTCAAACTAGCCATTCCACTTCATGTGCCCATTTTAGAACATTTTGTAGTTGGTTATCCTTTGATTATCTTTAATTAATTAGCAGCTAATAATGTTAAACTTTTAACTATTAAAGTAAGGTCTGTTTAGCTGGACTTCTTCCTGGTGGACAAAAGGGTTGCCTCTACAGTACTGTGAGTTGGCTCCTCCAAATAGCTGTTCAGAGTACCCAGCCCATATAAAGGAAATGGGGTGAACTGCACGAATATGTTCTTTATTTAGAATCTATAGTCCTAACAGAAGATTTCAGGGGAAACAATGGAGATGGGGGTACATGACTAAACCTGAGTGGTGAACTTATTGTGCAAATTATGGATTGTCCATAACAAACATATTTAAATGCAAGGTTCCGCATAAATGCACATGCTGCCAGAGCACCTTAGGCCAAAGGTGAATGATCAGCTTCATAGATGGGTCATATGACTTAAGGCTGTGTTTTGGACACTCAGGTGATGAGAAGCACAGAGCTATTATTTGGTGGCCACTTGGTGGTGAGTTGAATTCAGTTCATAGGGTGGAAGTAGATGGTCTGGGTTTGCTATGAATGATATGAGTTAAACTCTCCACATGCCAAGCTAGAACTGCAGTGAAGACAGTTCAGGAGGTAAAATGTTGACAAAAGATGGGGGCAGTCAATAGTATTTTGATCCATACAAGCTGTCAAGGACCCAACTTAGGTAAGGAATATACTCTTACATTTATTTTCTTTAAATAAGCAAATTTACAAGCCCAAATGCACACTACTGTCAGCAGTTTCAATTAAATAGGTTCTTAAGAGTCTATCATATATCTATCTCTGTCTGAATAGTTAATTCCCTCCACCTTCCGTCCAAACTCACACTAAAATGTCACTCATAATGCAGTTTTGAAAATGTGCCAACTTAACAGGTTGTATAAAATCTGTTTGGCATTGTTTTAAATTGGCAGCATGGTCATACCTGCAGCACTTGACCAGAAAAACAGGACATGCCGTGCCAGATCCAGACGGCTAATTAATTCATCATGTAAGAAAAGGAGGCTACACCCCCCCAAATGTTTTTGGCTACAAGGAAAACGTAGGACATCTAGACCCTCCTCAATTAAAGACCTACCTGTTTACCAACCGCATGGACTTACGACCAGTTCTCCAACCAGTCGGTATTGTATACTGCACGAGAACTGGTCATGGAAACGGCAGCGCAGCATTTCTATCCTATTGGAGGATACGTTTTCCTTGTAGCCAAAATCATTTGGGGGGTGTCTCGGCAAGTTAAGCATTGTCTTCTAAAACGTCCAACGTGTGGGAACAGATTTCCAAAAGATTGTTCCATCAGACGAAATTCCGCATTCTAACAACTCATGTCACGTGATCAATATAATAAAGCCTATAATAATCATGTTTCAGCATTCCAATTAATTCCAAAATAATTAAAATAAAAGCGTACCCATATTACAAAGGTCAAACATGAAATGCAATGACTGAAATTGAGAGAAAAAAACCCGAAAAATATGAACAGGGGTACATTGAAAACATTTACCAAAAAGATTATTATTAATAATAATCACACACACACACACATATATATATATATATATATATATACACAAAATATTAACAATAATATTACTCATAAGAATACTATTGTCCACTTTGGATAAAAGCATCTGACAAATGTCATGTAATAATAATGAGGAGGAGGGAAAAAAAGAGAACAAGATGTTAGCTTCATGACATAATGAAGACTGAAAACCAGAGAAGACTGAGTACATAATTATGGCCTTCCCATTTGTTGAAGACCCTGTGGAGAAGGGTGCTCGGATAATACAAGCAGCATTCAGACCACCAGCCCCAAGGGTCTACAGGGACAGAGTAAACCAGGGCTGGACTGGAACCAAAAAATGGCCCTGGCATTTTTTTGGTCATGGCGGCCCACTGATTATTTATACGATATGCGAAAGCACATGACATACCAGACGATATATGTGCACGTTGTGTGATTTCAAAAATTAAAATAAAGCACAGCAGCTTACAAGGAAAAGAGTAACCATGTTAAAAAAATGATATGCTCTTTCACTATTCAGGGATTCATCTTGGGAGAGATGGCCACAGTGTCACAATCCCCACCTTGAAGGTGAAAATGGATGTCAAAGAAACACAGAGAGAGGCAGGAATGTTAATTTCACTAGTGTTATTTCTCTGGTTACCTCTCAATGATAAATCATCCATTTCAGCAAAGCAAAGCTTTACTAATATTACATGATAATAATAACTAAGCTGTAACAGCTGCAAACTGTAACTTTATGGCAAGCTAAAATACCATACATAAAGTTGGACACCAAATCTACTCATAGCATTATATAAAAATGAAGGCTGTAAAGGCAATTTTCTCTCTCTCATACACACACAGTCTTTGCACAAAACTGTAGTTTTGTACACAAATGACACATAACTCTATAGGCTAATATTATTATGCATGTTTTATGTCTGACTGAATAAAACAAGTCTATATAATTACCGGTTGCTCAGGTCAGGGGATTATTCTGCCCCTTCTGTTGAGACCTGAATAATTTCCTATGTTGAGCATTTGCACACTTTTGGCCCAGATACTATTTAGTGAAGATGTCTCTAATCAATTTTTATAATTTAAAAATTGTATTAATTCTTACTCTTCTAACTTTTTTCTTATTTTACGTATTCTGTTTTAATTCACTATTACTATTATTATTAAACACATCCCAAAACATTGTCATTGTTAACTCTGACTGTGTGCAAGCTTACATGTAGGCACCCCCCCCCCTCCCCCCCTCTCTTACTCTCACACAAACACAATTTGTGAACATTTTTATCACCTTTTCTGACCATCAATCAACACAGAGGATCAAGGAGGACTTTTATGCAGTAGCAGGTATGTGACAGTTGAAGTAGACTTACATAAGAACATAAGAACATAAGAAATTTACAAACGAGAGGAGGCCATTCGGCCCATCAAGCTCGTTTGGGGAGAACTTAGCTAATATCTCAGAGTTGTTAAAATCTTATCTAGCTCTGATTTAAAGGAACCCATGGTTTTAGCTTCCACTACAATAGCAGGAAGACTATTCCATACTCTGACTACACGTTGTGTAAAGAAGTGCTTCCTCAAATTTGTTTTAAAATGTT